ATTCAAAAGAAGAAGAAGACGCGCAAACAGAAGAAGAAGAAGAACTTCACACCGGAAATGATTTATAACTTCCGGTCTATTTTGTCGGCAACAACAGCGTTTCTGCTTCYTACGTTTGGATAGATTTAGCTATTTTCTGGATATAAAAAAAATATGTACGACCAGGACGAAGGTAAGCTGCTGAGAATCAACACGCGCAGAAGGTTTATTTATAAATATAAAATCATTAGAAACGTGATCGATACGTAAACAAAACGGCTAGCATCTTCTGCCCAAAGGGAGCTAACGCTAATAATGCTAATGCTAGCTGCGCTTATTGTTCGAACAGAACACGAACACCTGATCACACATGATCGAACACGCACGATTAGAAGCACGCGCGTGTTGTTTGTTCTGACAGCACGAGCTCTCTTTTATCTGCGCTAACAGCAGCTGAAGCTAATGGCGGGTGCTAGGATGCTAATACCCGAGCAGTGTTTTTAGTCATCCATCGATTATTGCTGTTTTTCAGATAATCAATACGATGAAGATGATGATGAGATCACTCCGGATCTGTGGCAGGAGGCTTGCTGGATCGTCATCAGGTAAACTCACCTGGGKGGTCAGTTACTTATCAGGAAGGTGGTTCTGCTGCAGGTGGAAGGTGCCTTTTTTTATGTAATTTTATTTTCTTTAGTTTAAACTGAAGGTGTCAGATTCAGAATCGTTTCTTCTCTATAAGCTCTTATTTTAATGTGAGTTTGTCTTTATCCTCTCATTTTGTTGGCGTTTCTGACATCTTTTCCAGCTCTTATTTTGAAGAGTTTCTGTCTTTCCTCCCAGCTCTTATTTTGACGAGAAGGGCCTGGTGCGGCAGCAGCTGGATTCGTTCGACGAGTTCATCCAGATGTCCGTTCAGAGGATCGTAGAAGATGCTCCGCCCATCGACCTGCAGGCCGAGGCCCAGCACACCTCGGGGGAGGTGGAGGAGCCGGTGAGTCGTGGACTAGAACTGGGACTCGTGCAGAACCAGGAGAGTTTGTGTTATTGATCTGATTTCTGTACCTGCCTGATCCTGTTTAGGGTTGAAGGGGGCGGAGCTTATCTCTAATGTCTCTTTTTTTAATCCGTAAATTTCAATAACTTTCCTAGTCAAAGTGAAGATTCAGAAGTCAAAYGTTTTTCTTAGTTCATCTGTTGGTTTGGTAAGTGGGTTCTTGTATTTAACGCTCCTGTGACATCACCGTCTTCCAGCCTCGTTACCTGCTGAAGTTCGAGCAGATCTACCTGTCCAAGCCCACTCACTGGGAGAGAGACGGCGCTCCTTCTCCCATGATGCCCAACGAAGCCCGACTGCGAAACCTCACGTAGGTCCCACCTGCCGTCGTTTCACGGAGACCGGCGATCCGCCCGATCCCCGACGCTCATGCCTGTCTGTCTCCTCGYCACCAGGTACTCCGCCCCCCTGTACGTCGACATCACAAAGACCATCATAAAGGAAGGTGAGGATCACCTGCAGACGCAGCACCAGAAGACCTTCATCGGTAAAATTCCCATCATGCTCCGCTCCACGTACTGCCTGCTGAGCGGCCTGACGGACCGAGATCTGTGCGAGCTCAACGAGTGTCCGCTGGACCCCGGAGGGTATTTCATCATCAATGGCTCGGAGAAGGTTCGCCGTGACGTCGCAGTCCGAGAACTGAGCCTGGAAATAAAACCCTGTTTTCATCAAAAACCTGGAAACTTTTTTTTTTTTTTTTTTGCTCTCAGGTGCTGATCGCTCAGGAAAAGATGGCCACCAACACCGTTTACGTCTTCGCCAAGAAGGATTCCAAATACGCCTACACGGCCGAGTGTCGGTCCTGTTTGGAGAACTCGTCTCGTCCCACCAGCACCATCTGGGTCAGCATGATGGCCAGAGG